AGTATTTGTAATAGAGCTTAGGTGATAATGAATATATGTTATATCGATAATTTTTTGAAGGTCACAGAAGGAGATTGGATGTTGGGTTTAGCTTTTGGTTTCTTTCTTGATAGTAATGGGCATATTTATTTCAGGTTTAGTCACATCATAAGTAAGATGGATTTCATGCTCATGAGTGGTCAGTCATTATCAGTAAGAGAAATAATGAATTTAGCATTTGCTTAGGATTCTTGGTTTTGCATTGCTCAATGTCTTGAAATGGGAATGCTTATTTAATATATTTGTAGTGAGAGTTGTGAAATTTAATTTATGCATGTCCTATTTTTGAAGTGGATTAAAATTTAATTGTAAGTGTTTCACTGGCGGATTTCAATTCAATTATAACTTGGATTATATGGGTTTCAATTTTATTTAAGACATGACTACCTATTGTTGAGGAGTTAATTGTTACAATCTTGTGTAGAATAATTTCTTCAAACTTGTGGCCCTCTCTTCTTGAAGATAAGGATTATGAAAAATGGTTCATTTTCAACAATCGTGACATCCATGGAAGTACATCCATGGAAGTGAAAAATATATATAGTTGTTATATGATAGCACTTGTGACCATTATTGGTGGTTATGCATCCATAAACAAATAATTTAAGCATGAATACTCAATAATAATAATAATAATAATAATAAACCGAATACTTCTGATGTAATTTTGCATGATTCATGAAAATGAACTTGAAAATCACACTATATAGTCGTATTACTTCAATATCCTAGCACTTTTTGATGGGATCCTATTTATAAGTATTCCATTATTAGAACAACTCTTTATAAGTAGTTAGAAATACTATGCTCAAGTTATATGCCTCATATGACATTGAATAAATGTATTTTTTTTCACACAAACACCATATTCGATTGATCGGTATTAATACCAGAGAATCCATGGATGATCATTTATTAAAAAAAGAAGAAAGATTTTGATCAAAGTAGTCTCTTGTATCGCCCGATTTACCCTTTTTCTTAAAAACTAGAATTGTGTATTTTATTTCATGAAAGATGGGAAAATTTGATTAATTTTAGATTTTTCTTAACCAAAGACACGCACACAATTTTAGATTTTTCTTAACCAATCCAATGTTAGGAGAATGGTGTCAAAATATAAATTTTTCTTAACCAATCCAATATTAAGAAAAGATGCATGTGGTTTTGATGAAGAAAATCAGCAGAAAGCCTTAGACTTGGAGAAATGGGGGGAGGATCAATCAGTGGAAGGAATATCAGAGAAAATATCATGATATTTTATTATAACAACTTGTCAAATTGTGAATTTTGGGCTCTATTTATAAAAATAGCTCTTTTTGTAAAACGGTAAAATTACCCTGAAACCCAGAAGTTTTTGATACCAATCCGAATGGCAAATAAACATGATATTGATACAAATTGGTCTCAATATTGATAGCTAAATCGAAACTTCTTGCAACATCTTAAACTCTGGTATTGTTGTGAAAAAAGAACTTAATAATATGGGTGTAAGAAGACTGCTTGAAGTATTTACTCATTTTTTGCCGTGGTTTGATTGGTCATTTTTTTAGCCATTTTCAATCTATTTGCATTTTATCACATTCTCACTGGTTTGTATTTGACTACAGGCAATGGCAGCCAATATCTTTTTTCAATTTTGTTAATTTACAATTCTTCAAAATAATTCTCGATGTCACGTCTTGGAAATAAAGGTTGTCCATGAAGTTTTTTCATGCAATAATAGCTAATTCTACCACCTAACAAATGAATATCCTTAGTTTGATCTTTAGTTCAATTCTTAAACTTTGGTTTGAGAGTTTGTTGATGCACCTAAATTCTGTAGGTAACACTTTGGGTGCTTAAAATATTTTTTAACAAGAAAGCATTTTTACAAATTCATTAAATGTGATAGTCATTTATCATGTCTTAGGTTTTAATGTTACCAGGCTTGAGTTTGGCCTTTAGGACTTGTTTTGGATGTATTTGACTTCTAGAACTTGCTTGTCCTAATTTGATCAAGTTGCATCCAATTTGCCTGGAGCCTTTTTAGTGCTCAAGTGTGTGTAATAGTCAATGATAATAAAAAACTGTAAAATAGTTAAACTGTAGTGATGGAGGTTAATAAACAAGTGCTAGTTATGTTAGAAGCCTTGGCTAGAGATGGTGAGGTGGTAGAGGTAAACTATAATGGCTGATTGATGGTTAATAAATATTGCAATTGCTATATTTTATAAAGTAAATCCTTTCAATCTGAGTAGTGAAAATTAGTGGAAATGAATTGGAGGTGCAAAGACTGGATGGAGTTTGTGTAATTTTGAAGAATGTCGGGGAAGAAGTATTACCATCTTGTGGTAGAAGTGGGTTTTTGTATTTTCAATGGTATTTTAATGGAATGGTGCTGTCAGAGATCAAAGTAGTGTATTGAAAATAACTTTATGTGTGACACATCAAGATTAGTAATCCAATAGTGTCATATTTAGTGGCAACAAATCAATACTCGCTTTGATTGCTAAGCCCTAAAGTTTTCTTATGTTAGTGTTGGAGCATTGATGGCTTTGAAGTGTTTTCTGGTGATTTTTTGATGTCAACAGTGACCCTAATGGTAGTGGAACCTTGATACCGAGCAAAGAACATAAAATTTAGTGGGCGGTTATGGATAGTTAACAATGTGGTTGCAATCAAAGGATATGAACACAAGGAAGGTGGCGAAGGAGGTCCTCTTCTTTCAAATTTTGTTGTTCCAAATTTCCTGAAGAGAAATTGAGCTTGACATCAGGTTTTAAGAATAGACTTGAGCATAAGAAAAATGATCCTCACTAAAGATTCATTGGATGAAAGGTCCTATGAAGTTGAAGGATTTTATGCTCAAGACGAGCCTTGAAATAATCAGAGAACTTATGCACACAAATATAGCAAGAGTAGTTTGGAGGATTGTTTTCTAAATCAATATTTTGTTAATATCCATATAACAGAACCATAATCCTCTATTCCATCGAGACTTTACCCATAGACAACCTAATACTATAAGCTATTGTAGTATCTATTTGTTGGGGTTTTTGAAAGATTGAAGCCAATGCGAATAATTTAGATTAATTTAAATAGTCACAAAAAAATTATATTTTAATTAGAGTGATATTAATTGGCTCAATGGAACATTTAAAATGGGGGACTGCATGCTCATTGAGAACCCATTAATATTGTAGGAACTTCTTGAGAACAGTCTAATATAATTTGCTTTTGAAGAAAGCTTTATGATGATATGTTGATGGTCGATGAAGCCAATTGTGTAATCAACTAGCAACTACAAAGTGAGAGTAGGCTTGCCCTGAAAAGATAAAGACTGTTTATGTTAACTTTCTGACTTATGATGAAAGAGAGTTGGAGAATTGTTGAATGTGGAGGGGGAAAACATCTGTAGCATTTAGAACCTAAAAAATTTTTGCAAAAGATGTGAAGGTTGAGGGGATCTAGGCTCAAATACTAGGAAGAAGGTAGCGGAGTATTCTCAGAAACATCAGGGGTCGACCTTCAAAGGCATGGGCAAAATCATCATAGGAGTAGGGATATGAAGAGGATCTGTGTCTGAAAGTGTACGAGATCTTCTAATAGAGATTAAATGTGGAGACCACACATAACCACAGACATTAGAGGAAGCAAAAATCTACCACTGATGAAATAGAATAGGAAGACCCATTGAGGGTTGCCCCAGTAGCGCAACGTTAATCAAAGGAGCGAGAGAGGAAATGAGTGGATGAGACGACGATGCTATGAGATGGCATTGGCATGAATCTTGCAGGAACCCCTAATTTGTGTCTCACAGATGGGAGCCCCAGCAATGTACCCAATCTTTGTGAGAGCATCTAGCGGTCGACGCTGTGCTACCCACTAGCCATATGCGACAATCACATGTTTACCCAGCTCGAATGAATCCATGCTAACCCCTAGATTTGGACGAAGCTGCGGTGAATGGATGAAGCTGCGGTGAATGGACGAAGCTGCTTGAGTTGGTGCAAGCGGCAACAAGCAGCACATGCAGACAAAGATAGATGAAGCCGCAGCTATGCTGAGGATGTATTGGCAGAAACAAAAGGATTGCATGAAATAAATTTAATTCTGCTGGAGGCGGTGGTGTAGGTTTGGTACATTCAAAAGCTGTGATATCTCAAATGAAAGCATAATTTAATTCAAGCAGCAAGGAATGATGTACCCCCAAGGGAGGCTGATGTGTTCATTTTGAGGGCAATTGGTTGATTCTAGCGGTCATTCTCTCACATAGATTAGTAATTAATCTTTGAACAAATATGTAGAACTGAAGGCATAGGTGATATTGATAAACAATGATAGAAACAAAAGTGACACAGTCAAGATGAATGGTTAATGACATGCTCGAGATTTATGAATCCTAATGTGAACTTGAAGATTCAAATAATAGCTTTTTGTCTCTGGTTTTATATAGCTTGGTTATGGAAGCATGTGTTATTTAGTATTTAATAATTGATGGTGAAGGTTGCATGTATCTTTGGTTTTGGTATATATATATACAAACATGTAAAGCTGATCTATGAAGCTTTTGTCGTGTTTGTGGAAACACATTCAGCCTTTAATGCATATATGCATGCTTAGCAAGAATCATGGAGTTTGCTTTTCCTTTGCATCCTTAGTTTTCTAGGAATTTTACTCCGGTTAATATTAATAAGCATTTGTGGTCTTCATTGCTTAAAGGATCCTGGGGCTTTTCAGAAGACCTTTTAGGGGAGAGAGGGACGTTGCAACAGTGAACTATTAGTGCAAACATCTTGAAAACTAATTTACATATCTTTCTTTAGTTTTGATATCCTGAGTCAGACATAGCTGACAAGAAAGCTGTATTATTTATTTTGACTGCCATTTTTTTTACGTTATTGATTCGCTCTGTTTTAAACTCGAACGAGTTTCATATATTCATATATTTTTGTACTTATTCATTTTCTTTCTGCATACAGGATTATAATCATTTAACTGAGCTGCACAAAATTAAGGACAGTTGGTGCCGGAGACCACACATATTCAACCATTATTATCTTCTTGAAGCATTGTATGATACATTTTCATCATCGTGTTCATCTTGCTTTTCATTCTTTAGTGGGAGTGAATCTGGTAAAAGATATGTTGATACGCACAAGTTTCAGCTTAAAGCCTCCACAGGAAGTCCTTTCAACAAAAGATTATGGACCAATATTCTTCTTGCTTTCAACATTCTGTAAGCTCTTGCCCTCAACATTTTTGTAGTTTCTCTCCTAGCAATTTTATTAATTAAATTCTTAGGAGTGGTAAGTTGGCTCTAGCATATTTTGAAGTTTTAGATTTGAGTCAGGCAAAAAACCTCTTTGCAAATGCGGGATTTGTTGCACATGCCTTAAAATATTGTTGACATTTGAAATTTCTTTTTTTGTTTTTTATTTTGATATTGTTGTGATAGTTTACTTACGCGGGAACTGACTTAATAGGGAGTCTCGATAAATATCCCGCACTTCTTTCGTCGGTCCAGACCTAGGAGGGTCGATCAGCTCTTCCACCGTGTGTTGGCGGCCCTTTCCATAAGAGGATCCAATCCTAGTTATTTTAGGTTTATGTATATGTGCTTCTTTTGACTTACGTTTTTAGTTTTTGATCTGTTTTATGTCGGGACAGCTGTTAGCATCTCCAATTCTCTCTCTTCAAGCTGTGTCCAAAGGCGAGAAAGTGCTCTGTTGTAACTGATCCTGAGGTGGTGTTTTCTACCATTCCCTGCTTCTCAGAGCATTCGCTCCACTGTCGCCATCACCGTATCTACTGCAGCCACTTGCAAAACAACCAATTTGTTGTTTCCTGTAGCCACCTGCCACCTAACCACCTCTCACATTGCTGCTTGCCAGCCCTTTCCAGCCCTTTCTTTGCTCTCAATGTCCAATAAGATTCCTCCCAGACCCTTCCATTGCCCGACCAACCTCCCCGCTATAGCCATCTCGTCATAACTTATTGCCGCCCACCTTCCAGCCATATATTTTTGCCTTTCGATTATCCAATCCTCCATATTTGCTATTTCTCTTAAAACCGCAACACCAACACCCTCGACCTAAGCCTTAGTTGAGTTTGTGTTGCGCCTTTTGCTATTTTCTAGTTTTGAGTGCCTTTGGTTGTAATTTATATTTGATTTCAGTAATAAAACTTGCATTTCTCTTGTCATTTGGGGTTAACTCTGGTATTATTTAGTATTATAGCTAGCTTAACCCTAGTCCTATCTTAGGTTTACTAGCATCCGCAATACACAAACCTATCTCCCACCCGCTCTTCTCACCCCAAAAATTTCATTCCCCACCCTACACACCCCTCCACCTATCCACACTTAAACCATTCCGCCGGGAAGCCAATTGTCAGAGCTTGATCAGGACTATACCATGGGCGACATATTGTGGATTGTCTGCAGCTCGAGACCATTGAGGAAAGGAGCATGGGCGAGGTCACCGTCGATCGCAATGTTGAGATCCGCAGAGGTGCAAGAACATTTGAGCCCTTTTTGTAGGACCAGTTGCATGGCGCTATTAATTTTTTCAAGTTCGACTCGATCTGCGGATATCACTAGATCATAATGAGACTTGGAGATGAGTGGAAGATGTCTTGCAAGAATAGAGATGGGTTGTAAGAGTGGACATTATTGCTCTTTCGGTTGTCCAATGTGCCTAGCATGTTCATGAGGCTGACGAATCATGTGTTCTGGGTTGGCATTAGGAAGTTTGTGGTCTTTTACTTGGAATGACGTCCTCGTCTACAACAGGCCGGAGGAATAGCACTTGCAGCATATGGAACTAGTCTTTGAGGTCCTACGAGCGGGAAAACTACTTGCCCACTCGAAGAAGTGCCACTTCATGACGGTACATGTATGCTTTTTGGGTTACATTGTATCAGATGCAAGCATGCAGATGAAACCTATGAAGATAGATGTGATCGTGAGTTGGACACCTCCAGGGTCTTTTACTGAGCTAAGATAGTTTTTGGGTTTGGCATCATTTTATTGGAGATTCATCAGGAGCTTCAATACTATTACAACTCCCCTGAGAGAGCTCCTAAAAGGATAAAAGTTCCCATTGACAAAGGTAGCCCAGTCTAATTTTGACATTCTGAAGGAGAATGTGACACAAGCCTCAATGTTAGCTTTACTGAACTTTTGTTAGTTATTCGAGGTGGAATGTGACAATTGGATATAATCGAGATATAGTTATGGAATAGAAAATGGAGATGCTGGAGCACCACCCGAAACCATTGGGTTTAGTCCTTGAAGTGAAAATGGAGATGCCGACGGTTGTCCAGAAACAAATACAACAAAAACTAACTTTATAACATCACAAAAGCAAATGTATAATACTAGAATAACTAGCAGTGGGTGCACTTCCTTGAGAGGAACTTTCTAGGGTTCAGAGAACCGGTCGGCCCCTCCAACTCCTGGTCCGAACCAGTCTAGAGTTCTCCCAGACAGAGCCTTCCAGGGGTGGGGAAGCTTACTGCATTCCTCGAAGCTTTTGTCTCCTCATGGTATGAAGTCAGGTCGGTCATGTTGAAGGTGGAGGGAATGTTGTAATCTCCTGGGGTTGGATGGTCTTCAGCTATGCTTCTAGAAGCACTTAGATCCTATTGTCGGATGCACTGTCCCCAAAAACATCCTAGAAGAGTTGCTGAATTGCAAGTAACCAACTCTGCATGTCCAACCATCTGTGGGTATCTTGTTTAATTGAACTAGAACTTCATGCCAAGTGTACTCTGCAAAGTCATCCAAAAGTAGCTCAAGGTTGGCTCATCTCTCTTGGAAATGAAGGCAGACTCAACCACTCATAACTGTGGTAGCCCTGGCGGTAAGGTGTTGGTCAGTATATACTGAAACTCTCTCCGTAGTGGTTGCTCTCTGTCTGATATCGACTCTTCTATCTCACTACCCTCTAATATCACTAAAATTGATCCCGTTAGCGACTCTCTGCTAGCAAGATTATTTATAATCTCAGACTCTGTGGAAGATAGGAGACAACATGCTTTTCATCCTTTGTGAATGAGTATGTGTTCTTTAAACCATAATGTTGAGTCATGCGATCGAACTATCATGGTCTCACCAATAGAATGTGACAGGAATCCAAGAGCACAACATCACACTATACTTAATCATTCAGTTGGTGCCCAATCAGAAAATTCCACGAGGCATCTCCGATTAATGCTAACTATAATCTCCTTCTTCAACTGTGTCCGGGAATATGGTTGGGAATGTCTCTGTAGTGAGACTCAACTTATCCACCATCCATGTAGACATCATATTCTTACTATGACCTTCATCGATGATAAGACTGCGCATCTTTTCCTTCACAGTACAACAAATATAAAAGATGTTGTGGCTAAGCCACTGCTACTCTCTCGTAGCTTCAATCTGAAGTACCGGTTGAACCACAAACATCTCACCCTCATTAACTTGAAGTTGGTACTCTTGTATGCTATCACTATCCTCTGTCTCTTGCATGACTGCAACTTTTTCTACTGCTACCTGCTCAGTGAAAGAGACAACTCTAGTAGTTGGGAAACTAGAGGCGATGTCTTCAAAACATTTGAAACACTTGTGAACGTTATGTTGGGTGTAATGATCGTATAGGCTTCTTCCCACTCTAATCAGTGCTATCATCTTTTTGGACTGTTTTCACACCTTTCTTAGGTGTAATTCTGGCTTCTGTCGTGGTGATTGTCTGAATCAAGATAGGGTCCTGATCTGCTTTTATTATTTCTCCATCTCCAGGGCCAAATATGAAAATCACTCAATGCCCAGTGAGATTGCCGCTAAACGACATTGCTGATGGCTGACTTCAAGCTTCCCAAATACCTGACTATATTTTTGTCTGACTCTCTCGTCTCATATTTCAACATGAGTTGCTCAAACTCCTGTGTGAACTCCTCTACTGACAACTACCCTTGATGCAAGTGATGTAGCCTCAAGAACATGTCTTGGCAGTAGTGTGGGGGTATATGCTTCCATTGCATCTCCTTTTTCATCCTCTCCCAAGTAGTAATTTTGTTCCTACCTTCTCTTTGTCTCACTCTCTTTAGTTTCTCTAACCACAAAGAGATACTCTTCTTCAGCTTTATGGCGGTAAACTTCAATCTCCTACCAGATGATGCTTCCTTATACTAAAAAGTCCTCTTAACAATCGGCAACCACTCAATTATGTCATCCATTTTTCATTCGTCCCTCGAAATCCAGTAAGTCTACAATCACTTCTGTCTCTTTCCTCCAAAAGTCACTCTATCCTTTTTCCTCTTCTGATAGTGAATAACATAATGTCGTGGCTACTCGGTGGCTTGGTTAGGGTTTAGGTCTGGGAGGTGAAAGCAGGTGCATGGGGCTGAATTAGGGTGGGGGAAAATTTTCTTTTTTGGGTGGCTGATATGAAATTTCAGCAAGGAATGATTTTGGGTGGAGTTTGGATTAGGTATCGGTGTATTGGATGTAACTAAGGTTAAATTAGCTTTGATACCAAATGATGCCGATGTTTAGCCAAACACCAATATGAAACAAATATTATTGCTAGGTTCGAATAGGAAATTCAATAACATTAGGCATAACTCATAAATTGCAATAAATGCAACCCGAGATGGGTGGACCTAGTTTTTTTGGTGGGGGTTGGGGGTGTTGGTCTGGAAAGTTGCGGAAACTAGAACGGAGGGACAGGAAACAACAATTGTTGTTTCTGGGTAAGGCGGCAGCATGTATGGAGGGTAGACACAAAAGACACGCTATTTTAGGTAGGTGACAACAATTTATGGAGGGGGAAAAACATAGTTGGTACTGTTTTAGGATGGGAAAGCTGGATTGGGAGTCGGTGGGTAGTGGATCTGAGGAAAACAACAGGTAGGCTGCTTTTCTATGAGTGACATAAGGCGGAACGGTGAGGGGAAGGTAACCGGTGTGGGAAAGGGATTGGGGAAGGGATTAGAAGGATAAACACCATCTCGACAACGAGATATAGCCAGAGCACCACTCAGAAACCTTGGATACAACGTCAGTAGGGAAAAAGGAGATGTCGATGCCTGTCCAGTAACAAACACAACAAAGACTTCTAAAACATTACAAAATCAAATATATAATACAGATAACTAAGAGTGAGCCCACTTTCTTGTGCAACACTCTCTAGGGTTAGTAAGGCCGGTCGACCCCTCCCAACTCCTGAACTGAACCGGTCCAGGGTTCCCCCAAACACCCCATGTTAGGAACTTAATTGTAATTTAGCAAAACTAAATTGATACCTTGTAGGGATGTCAAATATTGAGCCGTCACACCAACTCAATTTGAAAACTTTAGGTTCGGGTTGGCTGATTAATTTTTTGGTTGAGTTCCGGTCTAAAATCTCAACATATTTATTTTCTTGGGTTTAGTTCAAGTTGACTAGGAAACCAAAATTTAACCCAAACTGATCTGCCAACCCAAAATTAACCAAAATCTGACTTGGCAACCCAAATTTTGACCCCAAACATGACCAAACTTTACTGAAAATTAACCAGAATTTAATCCAAATAATTGTTCTGATGTTAAATGGTTTATGTGGTCGGCTTTGGGTTAGTTGGGTTAAAGATGGATGTCGTGCTTGGTTTAGACTTTCTAAATTATTTAATATTCAGATTGGGTTCAGATCGAGTAGTTTCAGGTCAGACCGGAACCCAAGCGGTGAACCAACCGACACCCTTAGCCTTCTTCGTTATCGGTAAAGCATGTTCATCCCTACTTTTCTAATCACTGTTATTCTTCTAAACTCCCCTTTTTGGAATGACGCCAGGGTGCGTAATTTAAAATCTTTTTATCTATGAAATTTTCTTTCCATTTTGGTGTAATTGCTTAAATATTAATAGAGAACAAGTATGCTCATCTAAATGCAATTTGAGTAATCTTTCTATGCCTGATTTCCTAGCTCATATCAGCATTTTCACCAATTTTTCTAGTTAAACCTTGTAATTGTAGCATTCAGCTTCTGTATGCAATTTATCTTTGCAGGGTTTACATCGGTCAAATTGCTACACAAGGGAAATTGTTGCTGTGGGGGGCAAAGGTTGGCTATGTTTGAGTGAACCTATCTACAATATGATTTTTTTTTAAAATTTAGTTCACTTTGAACTTTATCGCTATGTGCAGGTCAATACCCTAATTGATAAAGGGCAACTGTGGAGATTGCTCACATCGTCATTTCTGCATGCCAACATTGGACATCTAATGGTTGGCATTTCTTTTAGTGAAATTTACTTGCATTCCACACAAATCCTATGTAGTTACATACTTAAAATCTAAAATTTGATACCTATATTTTTAATACTATGGTGTCATAAATCTATGCATAAATACTTAGGCGTAATAAACCTATGCATAAAATTAAAGAGTTTATAATAGTGCTATTTTTGATGCAATGTTAATGTTATGTATGTAAATATGAAACTTCTGTGTTAGATATGTAAATGCTGTTGACAGAAAAAAACACCACCTGCAGGTTAATTGCTACTCTTTGAACTCGATTGGTCCTACGGTTGAGCAACTTAGTGGACCTAGACGCTTTCTTGCTATTTACCTCATATCTGCAATAGCAAGTAACAACATTTAGATCTGAGACAAGTTTTGTTTTAATAGAAGAAGAGAAAAATGCTTTTAATTCCTGACTCAAATTTTGTTAGGATATTAGGTTCATTGATGAGTTATCATTTGTGTCAATCGCCAGCCGTTGGAGCATCCGGCGCCATATTTGGATTAGTAAGTTTGTTTACAACAATTTTAATCGCAGAAATCTCTTCTGATTATGTAATTTTCCAAAACATGAGCCTGTCTTAATGTTTCAACATTTTCTTATATTAAGTGGTATTATTTATTTTTACAGATCAAATAAATAAATAAATATATATATATATATA